TCTTAATTTCTCACTTTTGCAAGCAAAAAAAAAAAAAATACAAGCGTTTACCATGCCAGTATAGTCAAGGAAAGAAATACCAGTGTAGTATAACACTACTTCTGTTCAACACAAATATTCTCATTAAAAAACAATTACTTCAAGGATCTTATTAAGGTAAGCATTCACTTTATATTAGTTCTCTTTTCTAAAAGACTAGCACTGGTATTTCTGATCTATTTTTTTATATGCGCTATTATATTATACGTTACATTTACGATACTTTCATATTGTTTCATATTTCACATTTTGTACAACTAACTATTGCATTACACTCACATTTCGTACAATTGACTACTCATATTTCGTACAACTTACTTATATTTTGCACTACCAACTATTATTTAGTACCACTAGGCTACATGTAGCCATAGGCTACAATTATATTAATTCAATAAATAATATCTATAATAATAATTATTTATTATAATAAATGAATTTACTATTTTTATTATTTAAAAAAATATTTCAATTTCTTTTTTTTATTAAATAATATATTAACTATATAATTATATATTAATTATATTAAAATAAACCTTTATAATTGTATTATTAAAAGTTTATATTACTTTTCTGCTTAGGTCTTCTTAAATGAGATTTAGTTTAACATTTTTTAATCAGTTTCTTACAAGTTATTTAACAGATATAAAAAAATATTTTTATTATATTTTTTTATATATTTTTTATATATTTATTATATTTTATATTTATAATATTATAATTATATAATAATAATATAATTATTATATAATAATTATATAATAATAAAGGTTATATAAACTAATTATATTAGTTTGTATAGCTTTAATTCTTAAATAAGCTCTCTTAATACATATTTTGTAAACTATATAAGTAATATAGTAAATCAACACCCTTAATATATCTCTTTGAACCTTGTTTATTTGTAAGAATAATTGGCACCTTGATAAGCTTATTTATATATTTTCGTATTATAAAATATTTAACTATTTATTGCAGGCTTCTTTGGCAGCTTTTTTTAATTGGAATTACTTGTAGAAACTTCTTCAAAAAGACTATAAGCATTATTTTAATTTTTACTAACTCTGTACCCATTTATCAAATGAATTGCTAAAAAGTATTTCGCATTATATGCTAATTTCATTTTCTCAAAATTATATCCGTATGCAACAGATTGAAAAGAACAATAAGATTTTTTGAAATCTTTGTTTTTGTAAGCTTCAAGTGCTATATTAAACAGTTTTTGATATTCTTGTTCACGAGAAAGCACTTTTTTTTTGTTGTTTCCAGACATCTTACAGAATGTTATCAGATAGTCTAAAAGATTACATTTATATAATATATAAATTCAATTGATCAATTGCAGATTATTTTTATCATTACTTGTAATTGAATAGGATTGGGATTTCATACAGAAGAATATTATCTGATATAATATAATTTGATAGTAATCAACTAAGCTGACTTACGTATATAAAAGAAAATAATTTTAATCCAAGCTAACTATTAAACATTAAAAATATCACTCAATCATAAACAATTTACTGACAAACAGGCTTAATTACAACTTGAAATTTTACTCTGAATTACAATAAAAACTATTTTATAGCTATGAAATTTAATTTTTTTCTTTTTTAGTATATTATTTTATTTCTTCTGAATTAAATTATTTAATTAAAGTAGCTATTCAATTGAAAATATACATAATTAAATATTTGATTGATTTCCTTTAGTAAACATCTTAAAGTGACCCTTATTGTATTATTGTTGAAATTATTTAAATGAAATTTCAGATTTTGATTGTCTAGTCAACTCTTAAATGATGTCGATTATTAATGAATATGATTCAAGTTTTAGAGCATTTAGTACAATAATAGAACAAAAAGTTCAAAACAAATTAACAAAAAAACGAACTGATAATACAGTTGAAACGAATTATTTCATTTTCAAAGATAATATCTTTGGTTTTAAAGATTTCAAGGATTTAAAAAAAAAAGATCTTCTTTATAATAATTGTTATTTAAAGCAAATATACAAAGATGTTTGCTTGGCTATCCGCAGTTACGAATCAAGTGATGAATTTTCTCCTAAACACTTTGTTGCAATATTAAGCATAGCTTTAGTTCCATTTATTGAAAGTAACTACCTACCAAATAGAGAATATAAATTTAAGTTTAAAATAAAGAATAATATCACTAAAGCAGTATAACTTTAAAGATAATTCAACTAAAAAAAAATCAGAAACAGAAATAGAAAATCAATACAGTATTGATATAAGAAAACAAAAAAGCTCATTTAAAATTATTCTTTGTGCAATAGGCGCAGGTAAAGAATACATTGAAATGTTGACATCTTGTTGA